CCCGAAATGTTACGAAACCAAGATTTAAATAGGATTACTTAGGGAATCGGTCAATACATTCTTAATTACATTGCCTCTTTAATCGGTCAGAAACATAATGAAAAGGGATATTAAGGACACAGGGGATTCTTCTCATAGAACAGTAAAATAAACCCTCCCTGGAATATATAAGTGACATTCTATATATTACGAAGTAAATTCTGATTAAAATCAAAGACTTCAATGCCGATCAAGTACACAAAGGTGGGGAATGCCATATTCATCGAGGCCCTGCATAGCCTTTTATGAATTAAACTCCCAGGATCATTCCTATTTACTAATATGGAATATGACATTATGATTAAGCTTCCTTAGCTTCGGAAATAGGAACAATAACCCCTCTAATCTTTCATATCCTTACTCATATTACAAGTTCAATTCTTTATTAATATATCACATTGAACAGTCAAATAGAATGGACATTCCTTTAAGTTTCCTCCCTGGAAGAATCTTATCAATTATATGTTACAGGGGGTCGGTCATTGTTAACTCGGGGGGTCTTGGGACTTCTGGTATGACGATAAATAAATAGTGTATTTTTTATACTTTCGGTTACACTAATTATACTTTGCTTTATATTATTCATTGTCACTACTGCTAATATATAACAGCGTTGATACTTCCCCTTATTATCCTTATGTGATGAATCATTATACTGAAGAGGAGGATGGGTTGGGGCTTGGTTTTCCCCTAGGGCATATTCCTTTCGCTCTTGTGAATTCAGTACTAATTATACTGATTCTACCCTTATTTTTTCTATTTTGCTTATTCTATGATACAGGACAATAAGTCGGGGACAATTCTCTAACCTCCCTATATATAGCTTGGGAGGCTTGTCTAACTTCCTTATTGCCAGACATCTATTCCATATAAATCTGGTAGAGTTTGGTTGGTTCAGACATATTCACACTTCTTCCAGTTTCATTGCTTCACATACGGTAGGGCAAGATTGCAGTACCTACCAGATTCTAAGGTGCTGTGCGCTTAGATACAAACAGACATAATGGGAAGGACACATAGGTAGATTTCTTATAATGGAATTATGAATTCGAGCAAACACAGGAACCTTTTAATGAACAGTATGGCTGACTTTCTTATATTATTTCAAGCATAAGTTCATTAATTATAATGCATTCCATTTCTACCTGTTCTAATTGACTATATGGTGTATTGAACATCTTTAATACTTCCCCACTCTTTCTTAAATAGGAAACCCTCCGACTATACACTCCCTTCAGCATATCCGAGGCGGATTCCATCAGTATTAATCTTTCTTAGGATACAATGTTAGCCGTTCCCTTATCTAACCTGCATAGATACACCATCTTAAATTTATGCTAAAGATTGCCCAAATATATATATGCACATGGGGCATTATCAGCTTCGTAGGAGTAATCCCATTTTTTATGATTTCTAAACAGATTTTTACGAAACAAGTCCTTTCTTTAAGTTTTTAAATCATGCATAACGAAATATTTATTCATGGGGACAATATATGGACATAAGTCAAAAATCATCATTGTGATGTACAAATATACGCTATCATCTAACAATGATTTCACTCACGATCTTGACAAAATAGAAGAACAGGAACCCTGTTATACGCCACTTCTTGATAATATTATTCATCATTACACACTCAAGAGGAGTTAGGCAGTTTCATGTATATAAAATAGGCAACAGGATAGTGTCTATCTTCCTTGGTGCTCCTATGCTAACTAAGTCCTCCTCGGGATATTTGCTGATTAAAATTACCAAGCTTAATACATGTCCTCTTCCGTTACATCGAGTCAGAGGCTGTGGTTGATTCTGTCGCAATATTAATACTCATGGGGTCACTCCTTTCTTCTTCAGCATGGTCAATCACTGCCTGGGACTCTTCTTGGTTAGATGAAATTTCATCCAGTACTATTCTTCGAGTTTTTTTCTTCTTGATAAATACTTTGAAAAGCACACATGGTGGAATAAATCCTCTCCTGCCTCTTCTAGTTGGACCATTCCCTGGTGTTCTTACATCCAGGAGCATTGTAAATGGCTCATGTTCCCCTATTCTCCTTCGGTACGCTCCTTCGTCTATTACTCGAACTACCACTGTGCGGGTGTAACCCTGCTCCTTTCTGTTGTATGAGAGATTTGTCGTCTGGAGTACTTGTGGAATTACATAACGCTCGTAATACATTCTTCTCTCGTTTTTCTCCATATTAATTATTCTTTTTTACTGGGAAACTTGGAACGACACTCTTCCGGTTAAACAAATACTTTCTTTGGGGTGCTAAATATTTCCCCACTGAGAATTAATTCGAATGGTTTTAATTTGGGGAAACAGTTTTCCCTTATTTTGTTCTGAATGTTACCGCGTGTGTAAGTTTTGGGAGGAATGTCTTAGAATTGAAACCTCTGTTGTTGGTTGTGTGTAAATTAATTGTTACTTTTTCACTATTCCCAGTTACACTAACCGCGAAATAAATTTTCTTTCTCTTTTTTTTCCCCTTACTTCGGTTCGGTAATTAATTTAAATAACGCTAAAGAGGTTATAGGTTTTTCTTTTTCGTATTACGTTCACTATCGTCTGGCCCCAGAATTTGTTTAATGGTATTACGCCAGTGAAACAACCATTTGTTCTTCCGTGTGCACAATATTGCTCCCTTTTTGGTAACTATTTTGAATGACACTAAAGGAGAGGAATTTTTCTCCCCGTTGGGGTTTTTTAATTATTTTGTTGCATGTCTATTTTCTAAACAATATTATACCAGTGATAGATTTCACTGAGGTAGTGTTTGGAAAATATTCCTTTTTCTGGTGGCATCTTGAAATGAAACGAATTTCCCATGCACATCC